GCTGAGGTGAGTTGAGCTCATGAGATAAACAAGCTGAGGTGAGTTAAGGTGAGCTGAACTCACAAGCCAGCTCATTTAGCCAGAATCAGGTTTCCCATGCATGGGGACGAGAATAAATGCGCGATTCCGTTCCTTTCACATTCACAACCTCATGCCAGGCTTATTACGTCGCATGTTTTCTCCTGTCGAATTAATTACCAAAATTTTATATCCAATTAAGACCTCAATCTTGTAAAGATTCCTATTGTCGAATTGTTTATAAAAATCAACCTTAATATAAATGTGATTGTTAACCAGGCAAATAAAGGTCGTTAATAGTTATATAATCCATGGTCAGAGTGTCAATAATTGTGCATGTCGCAAGTTTCTACTTTTTTGGTACTAAATTAATACTATTAATGAAATCTTGCCATTCGTAGGTGTTTTTTAAGTTTTTAAATAGGTCACAAGGCGTTAAAGTTCACGATTAGGTTGTAGATAATCAGACAATGACAATTTTTCTATGTTCAAGTGATAATTGGAAGAAAACAATTAAAAACTACGAACAGATAATTGTATAATGGTGTGTGGTCTTTTATGAAAATAATGCAATTATAGTTCAATGAAAATCCAACTTTCAAATTTGTACACGTTGAATCTGTATATATTTAAATACGTATTTACTCTTTATCCACGGCAAGTTGAAGGAGATATGGAAGACTAAATCCCGGCCCATGCTTATTAACGTTGAACAGAGTTTAGTCTCGCATATCTCCGGGTTCAACTTGTCGTGGATAAAGAGTATCTGCGTGCGTAGAATGACAAATGAGCTCAACTCACCTCAGCTCACCTCAACTCATTTAAAGTGAGGTGAGCTCAGCTTGCCTAAAAACTCACCTCGCCTCAGCTTGTGGCAACACTACTTGCAATAGGTTCTCTTGTAGGTACTAATATTTTCAACAAAAATATTTAGGAAATTGGCACTGCATTCGTCGATACACGCGGATTGGTCTATTCCAACCACAATAGCGTAGGGACCTAAAAAAAATAATATGGAAAATAAGCACGGAGTTTTTACCAGTCTGCACGTCTATGTGGAAACAAACGCTACCGACCCCATTTTCAAGGCGTACAAGGGCAAGGAAATCATTCTTAGTGCGTCCTGCAAGTGAGGAAATGTAATGACACAAAGACTTATCAGCTTTTAAGATTAACAGGATAAATAATAAACGTATCAAACTTGTTCCTTCATCCTTGTCCGTTATTCCTTCATTCCGAATTGGACACATTGTGTATACCCAATTACGCAATATCAACTTATGTATGTACAGAACATTTTTATTCATAATTACATACTCATTGAAAAATTTCATTAATTTGTTTTTATAATTATAAACGAACAACATTGGGATAAGCGGCCGTACATACATACATATATTACGTACTGAAAAAATCGTAATCTTCTAGAACCACCTTTTACATTTGTGACACATAGGCACAATATCTCTGGAGCATAAGACCATTAGCCCCCGCAGATAACGACAAAAAGGACCCGCAGCTTTTCTTCTTCATCTCACCTATTTAATTTTTTACTCGTCTTTACATACGTATCTTTAAATTTAAATATCAAAGTACTTATGTATACACTACATACATAAATAAAAATGTAAACTTACTTTCTTATTAAAAAATTAATTTTCATATGCTTAAATTCCAAAACATAATGAATCCGTACAAACTATCGTGAATTCGAACAAAATGACCTAATGGCGAATACAAAATAGTTTTTTTTTCAATGAGTGCGGCAAATTTTCGACACAAATTTTATGATTTTACAAATTTTAAAATTTTAAAATTAAATTAATTTTTTAGCTTCTTTAATGGAATGAATTTTTTCATCTTGCTGAGAGTCGCATATATACATATACGCATTTTTTTACACACAGCGAATGAGAAAAATCATACAACTTTAAAAAAATACACTTTTACAGTTTTATCATTTTAGAGATTTGAATATAATTTTATAATTTAACAAATTTGCAGTTTTGTAGTTTTGCAAATTTTACGATTTTACAATTTTATAATTTTACAATATTACCTGTATATTTGTAATTTTGCAATGTTATCTGCACATTTGTAATTTTTTAATTTTATAACTTCACAAATTTTACGAGTTATCCACCCCACAAAAACTTCCTACGTACCTACGCGATGCTTATCAAGCCCAGAAATCCATTGCATTAAAGAAGTCAAAAAACTACTTAATTTATTAATTCATGACTTGTAATAAATGCGATTAATTAATTTTACTTTCCTTGTCAGAAAGAATGATGTATTGGTGCTTTCGATCTGGACAAATCTAGCGTACATAAATATTAACATATTTATCTCAATTTTCCCAGGCAGGGTGCAATTTGTTGGAAATTATAAGAACGTGTGAACAAGTTTTTACCCACCATTCCCAAGAAATCGAGGCCAGTTTCCATGCTAACGAGGAGGAAAAGTACCTTCTTTCCTTCTTTGTACGACTCCTGTGTAGGCAGATTTTGCGATACTTTTTGTGATACATTTTTTGCATAACTCTGCGAATACTTCTCCGATTATAAACTAAAGGAAAAGTTGGTTTTCCTTGCTTTACAAAGAAACCCAGTGAAGCTAAACCTGTTCATGCAGGCAATGGTACAGTTTACAAACAAAATATGAGGCCTTTTTTGTAAAAGCCGTTCATAAATTATGTACCTAATAACTTTCATTGAAACCAGTGGGGTAACCATATTTTGGGGGCCCCATGTCAAATGACACAAACGTTTAATAAACACTAAGCTATATATTTATGACAGGCTTTGTCAAGATTTTAGAATTGCAGATCAGTTTCCTAGCCCCAGAATTTTATATCTTATTTGCATATGTACATAAATATACATATATCGAATTAAAAAAAATGGTCGTAATTTTTAAAATTGTTCATGCAAATAATAGATACATAAGCGTAATTTTTAACTAATTAAAAAATGGTTAATTCTGAAATGTATGTACTGAATTTTTTAACTAACAAAATCTTTAACTAATTGTTACTGTCTATTGTTTATTTTGGTTTATTTGGGTTTGTTTTATTTAAGGTTTGGTTTTTAGGACATAAACAAAGCAAACCGAAACAGGATTGTACAGAATAAGTAAATAAAACAAAAACCATAACCAACAAAATAAAAAAAATGTTTGTTTTGTTTTTAATTATTTTGTGTAGATACAAAATCTTAACATTTGGGGCCCACACGGTGAGACAAAAATTTGCCAATATTAAATTTTTTAATTTGCTCAATGATCATATTTTACGGTTTTTTGAAGCACAATCTTAACGGTAAATGTTTTTTTCCAAATATAGTTTTATTCTAGAATAATATAAGTAATTACTTTGTACACTTGTAACTTGCAAAACCAATTTTTTTCGGAACATGTTTTAAATTTTACTTCGGTTTGTTTAATCTGAATAAACTAAACAAAACACGTAACTCAAGAAATAACGGGTGTGATTGTTTTGTTTCGGTTTGCGGAAAGAAATAAAATAAAACACAAATGTCGAAACATTGCGGCCCTAACACAATTGTTTCGTCACATAATTTATGAACGTCCCCTTATGCAAAGCAGATGTAAGTTTGTGCCATTAAGCAGCTTTAGTAACCTCCCAACAAAAATTATGGCGGGTAGCAGAGTGTAGTCGGATCGATGTTTTTTTAAAATCCAATCCGATCCGACTTGGTCGGATACTAAAAAAAATTAATCCGAACCTGTCGGAATCGGATTGGATTAATCCGACTAAATCCGAAATCCTACTGCTCTTTATAGAGTAGTCGGACTGATGTTTTTTGAAATCCGATCCGATCCGATCCGACTTGGACGGGTCATAAAAATCCGATCCGATCCGACTTTATTGGGTAAAAAAAATCCAATCCAATCCGACCCTGTCGGATTCGGATTGGATCGGATTCAGTCGGATATCCTACTACTCTCTGGTGGGTAGGCAGTTCTGAAATTAATGTAGGTAAATCCCAGCATCGTGGGAGCGATGTATTTATGAAACGTATAAAAGGCAGCTGTCAGTTCGAATGTGACCTGACATAAGTCGTATGGAGCTTTAAGCAATCAGCGATAAATACGTAAGTGTTTCGAGATTTATTAAAGGGTTTTAATTTAATTTGTCCCAATTTATTTTCAAAAAATTGTAAAAACACTAGGAGCAATTTTCTTATCAGAGATACATAAAAGGCTAATTCGTGAAAAAATATATTTCTGTGATGCACATATGTTCTTCCATATTTTACCAGTTCTTGCAGAAATATAGATATTTTTTACAAAAACTTCAGAAATTCACTGCATAAATATGCACATAATTCCGATCATCACACACATGACACCACAGCACTTGGTAACTGTGTTGTTAGTTTGCAACTTTAAAACTTAAGATTTTTTTTTGCATTTTTGCAATCAAATACATAAATTAAATTTATAGCAAACAATTTAAAAAAATCTTTTTTTATTTATGTAAATATATTTTTGCTATTTGATTAAACATTTTACATAAATATTTCCGGGTTTTTAAGAACATATGCATTTAGCCGGACTCTGATAACTTGTCAGAGTTGATGGGGAAACTAAAGTGTTTGACAAATCGTCGTACTAATTCATAAAAGGCCTAAGTGCAGTCGATCCTTAATTCAGAAAGGACCTAAGTGTACAGAAAAAAAGTAAAAAAAGGACCTATGTGCAAGTATGTATTTACATACTTATGGCTAAATCGCGCGATATATGAAGAATCGTTTTGGCAAGATATATGTAGCCATAAGTAAGTACATACTTGCAAATAGGTCTTTTTTTTACTGTTGTTTCTGTACACTTAGGTCTTTTCTACCCTAAGCATCGACGGTACTTAGGTCTTTTCTGAATTAAGCATCGACTGCACTTTGGCCTTTTATGAATTAGTACGACGATATGTATCGATTTATGCAGAGTATTCTTTCGACAAAATGGCGCCACAAAAAGCAGAACAAAATTCCACCCCTAATTTCGGGATGACCCGGATAACCTGCCCTCTACATTATGATTCCTCCTCGGCCCCCATTCCCATCCAACTTGACCTCGTAACTCCGTCCGTTGTCTTGGATCCAATTCCCCAAACCGAGACGATCCGAGAGAGCCCTCTCTTCCGGGACGTTGCAGCCTTCATTGGGCGACACTTTGCTTCCCTTAAGATCGTCAAGGAGACCAACTACTTTGACAAGATGGTCGTCAATGGTGTCCTGGGTGCACAATTTGTCTACTACTTTGCCTCCAGTTATGAAAAACAGGTCTATTTCGCCATGCTGCACACGTGGTGGTGGCTCCTCGACGATTGGATTGATATATGTGCCCTCAAGTCACCCATGGGAAAAATGAAAATTATCGACATTATCGGAAAATTTATTGAGACTGGTAAAGAAAATCAAGAGGTACTTAAAATCGGCTCTTGCATACTCCAAATAATTTGCTACAATATTATTTAGAGTATTCACGTGAAGGTATGTATGTATTATAGTATAAGCGATAAAATTAGGCCTAATTTTCCATGCGTTTTTAATGAAGAAGGGTGTCTAATCATCAAGCACGTACCATAGAGTGTTCCATTTTTGCATTACCCCTTACTTAGTAAATATTTATTCAGTATATTTACCCTTAGGAAAGAATCTACGACCCATTGCTTCGAAGTGTCCTGAAAGCCTATGCGGAGTGTGACGCCATGGCGGATAGAATCGTGCCGGATTACCCCAAGGTTAAACACCGTTTTACCAAAGAATTAAAGCTGTACTTACAATCTGGCGCGTGGGCTTTAATGGATTCGAATCTAGTGGGGTCGGGTTACTCGTTCGAGACGTTTTTGCACTGGAGGAAGGTTTCCGGTGGGGCAGACGCCTCGAATGAATTGCTTATGCTTCTGGAAAATGGAAACCCTCCGAACTATATCGTGGACCACTTAATGGTCAAGGTGAGACTGGGATCCCTTCTTAAATATATGGGGTATTGTTTTAATTCGTCCCCATGCTTTTATAGTTGGTGTTTTATAACTAAACCCACTTCCTCATAAGAGACATACACAAAAAAGGGTCTAATTTTTACCCTCAGACCATAATGCGTCATAAGTAAGAGCTAATAAATGATATCCTCGTTCTTTTAGACACTGTTTAACACGTCCTCCACCCTATTCGCCCTCCGCAACGATATCGTCGGGGTGAAGAGGGATTTGGCGCGAAACGACACTGGCGGCACGGTCATGTACAAAATCCTCGTTGAAGGGAAATCAGCTCCTGTTGCGGTTCAAGAAATTGTATCCCTGCATGAAAAACTTACTCGAGATTATGTCCAGTTGAGAAAAGCTGTTTTGACCATGTTCAAAAACTATGGGGAAAAGGATTTTAATAAACTGCTGAATTATATCGAGTTATTGGAAAGGTACGAGTATGGGGCGACTGTTTTCTGGTTTACCACACCGAGGTATCAAATCGATGGGAAGTTTGAGCTGGAACATTTTAAATGAATTTTATTCATTTTCCATAATTTTCGCTATTGAAGTATAACTAATTTCCCATTGGGATTTTCTAAAGATTCAGAAATCCCCGAGTTTCAAATCTTCTGTTGATCTGTGTGATATTTTAGTCGGAATACAAATTATGAAAAGATTTATAAACTGCATTCTGAAAACTTGAAGAAAGTAACAATTGTCAATGGTTGGAAATCAGCATGCTATCAAGTTGTTATCTTATAACAATAAAGACTTGAAAAATCTTGTCTGTTTCTCTTTACTCTTTTCAATATGTCCAATAAAAGCAACATATATCTGCGGATTCATTTTTAAATTTTAGTACTCATCCTTATTCCTTATATTATAAGCTGAAAATGTTTGTCTGCAACGGAAGTGAAAGTAATTTTCCGTGACGGAAGCGGAAGTGGAGAGAGTTTCACTTCCCTTGCCAACAGACTTTTCAGCAAATAATATAGATACAACAAATAAAAATTCGGTGGAATTATGAACAATCTCACTTAATTTTCATGAAAATCCAAGAAGCCCGTCGCCCGGTGGGAGACGGGCTTATACGCTAGCATAAAAGAAACGAGCGGTACTCCAACCTGGCAGTCTGAATTCAGATAGAACGCTATTAAAAGAACCTCCAAGAGGACTGTTGCACAAATTCTGACAGAATGATGTTCTACATACGTTAATGAAGTCTACTGTTTTTTTTACATTACGAGTCAAATCACCCGAAATCCCTCATTGAATATTTGCCTTATTGTCCAGCATTACGCATAAAAAAAGATATGCTCAGATCTGAAAATGCTACAAAAAAAGAGACGTTATTCGAGAAATTTGCAAAACGGGGTTATCCTTTTAATGTACAACATAAATGTATATTGAAGATTAATCAGATAAGCAGATACGATAATTATGACAATCTTTCCTCACTCCAAAAGCTATCAACAGAATTTACTGTTTTAGTTTTCCTTAATAGTGAAAACTCGGTACCCAAAATGTCTTGCTTTATCGCATTAAATAAAATGAATACTTTCCTCGTGACGTTTTTAAATATGACGAATGAGCTACCTGACAAACCAGGGCTGCTAAATGCATAGGTGACAAATTGACACAGGTACCAAATTAATTGCATTTGCAATTTTCTGCTTGTTTCACACCTTATCGGTAGATGCGACCAATTAAGTGGAAAGAAAATTAATGGAGATGACGCACGTACGCAAAATTTGTTGGGTACCTAGTCCTGAAATTTGGTAAATGAAGGATTTGTTGCTCTATAAAAGGGAATTTTTCAGGTCGCCAAATGAGACAACAGACGCAATTTCTTTGCCAATATAAAACTTTAAGTTATCAGCAATAAATACGCAGTAAGTCCCCTGGTTTTTGGCAAACATATATATTTATTTATTAGTTATACTTATGCACATAACTCCATTTCAAATTTAAAGTTCTTGGCAATTACTTTCCCCTAATTATTAGTGGATAATCTGGATACTACAGAATATGTATATACTACATATTTAGGGATAGTCGGAAATCTACAGTACATTTCCCAACCTTAAGTCAATTTATTTTTACTAAAACACAACTTAAAGCAAAGTTAGGAATTTTTTAAACGTTATCGTTATAAACGTTTTTTAACCCTTTTGCACCCTCTCAAGATACAGCGGCCGTCCCGGTATTAACTTAAAACTCGCGACAACGGTTTTGACCAGTAATATTTATCACTTATTTTGCAGAGAAGTAAAAATTATTTACAGAAATTAATTTACAGTGTGAATTTTACATTTGTACATATTTTTCATTACATCCTGGTTTATGGGCTTAATTAGGAATACTTATGTATCTTACTGCCGCTTATCAAAGCTAAATAAATATTTTAATGCATTGTATCTTTACACAGCCGTTCTCTAAAATGGGGCCACAAATCGGAGAACAAAGCGTCACCGATAAAGTCGGCATGACCCGGATAAAATGCTCTCTACCCGTTTACCCTTCCTCATCGGCCTCTATTCCAATCCAACTTGACCTCGTGACCCCGGCCGTTGTCTTGGACGCAATTCCCCAAACTGACACGATCCGAGAGAGTAAGCTCTTCCGGGACGTGGAGGCCTTCATTGGGCGACACTTTGCTTCCCTGGAGGTCGTCAAGGAGACGAATTACTTTGACAAAATGATGCTAAATGGCACGTTGTGTGCAAAATTTGGCTACTATTTTGCCTCCAGTTATGGTGGCTCCTCGACGATTGGATTGACATGTGTGCCCTCAAGTCGACCCTGGGAAAAATGGAAATAATCGACATTATTGAAAAATTTATTACGACCGGGACAAATCAAGAGGTAAAGTTGACAAATCATCTAATATTATGGTATGTGTATTCAAATTAAGCGTAGTTTGTACGCGGTTATTATGAAGAATTGGGTGTAATTAGACAGCACCTACCATATAATGTTCTATAAATTTTTGGACGTTCTTGCCAAAAGATATTTAACAAATCAAAGACCCATCAACGAACACACGAAAGTTTCTGATTTCCCTGAGTGACAAAACGTTTTATTTGTCAACACCCAAAAATTGAACACTATATGGTTTGGTTTTTACAAAAAGACACCTAACAATCATAAGCTATCGTGAAAAATGTGTCTACTTTATAAAATCAAGCTATAGTACCTCCACGGGTAACGATTGGTCTCCAAGATGTGTGAAGTGACAAATTTTGCATTTTTAAAACCTTGAAATATTTTAATCTTCGACACCGGCCGGAGGCATTTTACGCGAGAAGATTGGCACTTTATAAATTAATTTATTTTTGCGATACTGAAGGATATTGATTTAATTCATCCAGGCGTTTTAGGTTCAAATATTTTGGGAAAATCGGGCGAATTAAATTAACACCCTTTATGATAATATTTGTTCATTATATTTCTCGTTCGTTAGGATACAATTCGAACCTGTTCCGACCCATTGCTTCGAGCCATCCTGGAAGGCTATGCGGAGTGTGGCTGGCTGGCATGGTGGCTGGAATTGTGTCGGACTACCCCAAAGTTAAACATCGATTTACCCGAGAGTTAGTGCTGTATTTACAATCTGGCGCGTGGGCATTAATGGACTCAAGCTTGTATGGTTCGGGATACTCGTTCGAGACTTTTCTGCACTGGAGGAAAATTTCAGGCGCGGCAGACGGGTCGATTGAATTACTCATGCTGTTAGAAAATGGAAACCCTCCGAGCAACATCGTGGACCATTTGATGGTCAAGGTGAGACTGGGAACTCTTTTGAATATATGTCAAACTCTTTAATTTTTAGGCAACAAAATTATCGGTAAGTTGGTTATCTTTTCTTGATGGTCATTGAGTTTCACCGTTTTTTCTCCAAGACGTAAAATATGTCAAGGGATTTAATTTAAGGGATGTCTACTATGCCAACTAAATGTTGAATTTTAACATACTTATTACTTATTCCCGAAAATTAGGACATTTCCAAGTATAATTCAACTTGAGTATAAGCCCGTCTCCCGCTGGGCGAGAGCGTATTTGATTTTCGTGAAAATTAAGTCAGATTTTGCATAATTCCAACGAATTATTTTTTTATTATATCTATTTACATAATTAGCTAGAAATGCCTGTTGGCGAGGGAAGTGAAACTTTCTCCATTTCTACTTCCGTCACGGAAAATTAATTTCACTTTCGTTGCAGACAAACATTTCCAGCTTATAATATAGATGTTAGATTTCGGATTATTCAGTTTTTTAAAGTTTCATTAATTCCCCCTGCCGCACAGAGTTGTTACAGCGACCCTGAATTATGGTTGGTAATTTATTGCTAGGCTCACTTCCGGATAAGAAACAAAGATAAAAAATGGCCGAATTTTTTTCCACAGACCATAATTCACGTCAAATCCTAATCAATGGGTTCTTTCATATTTTAGACCCTTTTCAACACATCGTCCACACTGTTCGCCATCCGAAATGATCTCGTTGCACTGGAGGAAGGTTTCCGGTGGGGCAGACGCCTCGAATGAATTGCTTATGCTTCTGGAAAATGGAAACCCTCCGAACTATATCGTGGACCACTTAATGGTCAAGGTGAGACTGGGATCCCTTCTTAAATATATGGGGTATTGTTTTAATTCGTCCCCATGCTTTTATAGTTGGTGTTTTATAACTAAACCCACTTCCTCATAAGAGACATACACAAAAAAGGGTCTAATTTTTACCCTCAGACCATAATGCGTCATAAGTAAGAGCTAATAAATGATATCCTCGTTCTTTTAGACACTGTTTAACACGTCCTCCACCCTATTCGCCCTCCGCAACGATATCGTCGGGGTGAAGAGGGATTTGGCGCGAAACGACACTGGCGGCACGGTCATGTTTAAAATCCTCGTTGAGGGAAAATCTCCTTTTGTCGCCGTCCAGGAAATTGTATCCCTTTATGAAAAACTTACTCGAGATTACGTTCAGTTGAGAAAAGCTGTTTTATCAATGTTCAAAAATTATGGGAAAGAAAATTACATGAAATTGGAGAATTATATCGAACTATTGGAAAGATACGAGTATGGGGCGACTATTTTCTGGTTTACCACACCGAGGTATCAAATCAATGGGAAGTTTGAGTTGGAACTAATCAAATGAATTTTAATGGATTGCTTTACGTGTAATATTAGTTATATCAAATAAGACTACTTTTCTATCGGGATTTTGTAGGGATTCAAAAATGCTCAAGAATATTCAAATTACATTTATGTAGATATACCTGCCATATTGTAAAGGGTGTTAATAAAGTCCGATCCCATGCATTTTTTGGAGCGTGGTTGTTACAAATTCAGCTGGAACTTTTGAACCAGTGAAGTTATTTATTTCAAATTTTTACCATGGGAGGAACAACTAAACGTGTAAGTCATGAGCATCTTAGAGTTGAGATACAAACATTGCATCAGCAGGGGCTTAAACCTACAGAAATTGTGCAAAAATTGGGCTGCAGCCGCAGAACTGTTTGGAAATGGAAGAATAAAAATTTTGTCCACGACAAAAAGCGACCAGGGCGACCCAGAAAGGTGTCACCTACCACAAAAAGAATGATTAAAAACAGA